AAATATTATCCAATCACAAAACCCCGACAATATGTGCCAGGGCACTTGATAACAAAGCTTCTGTGAAAGTTTGGTCAAAATCCATTGAGAAATGTAGGAGAAGTTGCGCACAGAAGAAATTGTTCACTATATATTCTATATAAGGAAAAAAAACAAAGGGCCATAATTAAGTCAAATATTATCCAATGGCAAAACCCGGACAATAAGTGCCAGGGCACTTGATGACAAAAGCTTCTGTAAAAGTTTGGTCAAAATCCGTTGAGAAATGTAGGAGGAGTTGCGCACAGAAGAAATTGTTCACTATATATTCTATATAAGAAAAAAAAAAAAAAGGCCATAATTAGGTCAAATATTATCCAATGGCAAAACCCAGACAATATGTGCCAGGGCACTTGATGACAAAGCTTCTGTAAATGTTTGGTCAAAATCCGTAGAAAAATTTAGGAGGAGTTGCGCACAGAAGAAATTGTTCACTATATATTCTATATTAGAAAAAACAACAAAGGGCCATAATTAGGTCAAATATTACCCAATCGCAAAACCCCTATAATATGTGCCAGTACACTTGATGACAAAGCTTCTGTGAAAGTTTAGTCAAAATCCGTTGAGAAATGATGGAGGAGTTGCGCACAGAAGAAATTGTTCACTATATATTCTATATAAGAAAAAACAACAAAGGGCCATAATTAGGTCAAATATTATCCAATGGAAAAACCCCGACAATATGCGCCAGGGAACTTGATGACAAAGCTTCTGTGAAAGTTTGGTCAAAATCCGATGAGAAATGTAGAAGGAGTTGCGCACAGAAGAAATTGTTAACGCCCGCCCGCCCGCCCATCCGCCCGCCGACATACCTCAATCTAATAACCAGTGTTTTCCTTCGGAAAACCTGGTTAATAATAAAAAAAAATGGACATGTTACAGGCTAAAAATGGCCTCAGGTCGATTGTTAGGTAACGTGTAATCAACGCTGAAAAGCCTTTTACTCCACCTCAATCCATTGAGAAGTAGCACTTTGAAATCATTTTTAATGGGGAAGAAACACAATGCAAAATAGTGATTTTTTGGCAAATTTGAAACGTCCCCTTGTTGCGATGGTAATAAAAAATTAAAATTGGACATGCTGTTACAATTGCTATGGTCCAGTCAACATTTGTGCCAAGTTTCAGAAGTATTGAAGCATTTTTCATTATAAGTTTCAAATGATTTGAAGTTGTAACAGGAGGCTTTTAAATGAAAACGGCCATTTTTCACAATATGCTTATGCAGAACAGGGTTTACACTCAGTTTATATAACGAAAATGGCGTTACGTCAAAATATATGCACGATCTTGCAATACCTTTTTACGGAATCGCAAATTCCGCATGGGTATGTGATAAAGTATAATAAAACTACCTAGAATGATAGAAAGTTGTCTAACTTAAAAAAATAAATACGGACACCAATATCTTTAATTCAGTCATTAAAGAAGTACAAACGTTAGAAGTGTTATTTACTTGATGCGATGTCACAATGCAGCATGTCAAAAAAGAAAACTATTGCGTTGTTGCTTTTATTTTACTATAAATACTCTGTATTTCGCTTTTTAAATATACAAAGAGATAAAATAAGAACACAAACAATGTTTCCAATATTTGTTACTCTCAAATTGATGTGTATCAACCGCCTAAAAAGCCTTCATAGAACGGTAATATTAGAAACACTGAGGCGAGACCAACAATATAGTCAAACTATAATTATTCTTGACGTTTTTAAGTATGGAAAAACAACCTGATTTTGTTTGCCCTGTGTTAAACATATAGCACGATAATTATGTTGTTCAGATGTTTGTAGGTCCCTGGCCTTCCTGATTATATTACTCCATACCATGAGCACTTTATTATAGCACAGTTCACTCAAAATCAAGATATGTATTTCCTTTTCTAACAACCCTGAATCTATTTTCTCACCTTACTTTATACAAGATTCTAATCATACGAGTTTTAACAACTTGTTTGCCTAAGAGCATTAAGGCCGTTTTACGATACATATTTTCCATACAAACGGATGTTGCATTTCATTTGTGCGCATTCTGTGTAGGGCAAAAGGAATAAAGAATATTACAAGAAAAGCATTGATGCGTCCAAGCAAGAAATGCAGCAAGTGAAGATGAACTAGTAGACATCGGATGACCAGATATTCTTGTAAACTTTTCAATGGTTAATTGGTTTTAAAGAGTATTGTATATCATTTATGAATTGCGGACAAAGACATTGTTCATTATGAACTTTGGTAGGCATGCTAGAAGTTTGAATATTAAATGTTTTTTCCACATGAACTTTAATTCTATCAATGTTAACGATAATATCCAAAATATACAGGTCTATAATATCCAAAATATGGTATAAGTTTATTTATACTATATAGGGGTATTTTGGATATTATCATTAATAGATCTATTGGTTATTTGATAGAATTTTAAGTTCATGTGGTATTTTCTTTGGAACATACAACATAATAGTCAAAATGAACAAAGTCTGTTAATTGATTTATTTGGTAGGTCAATCTACTATTTTAATGACCTAGTCTGACCCATCAGTGTGTTTACATGCCTATCAATAAAGTAAAAACCCATAACAACTCATGTTAAAATTGCAGACGAAGAATGATAATACTATGATAATTTCGTAAAAATTGCCTACTTAAAGATTGCAATTATTAATTGTTTTAATATGCTTGCATTTCATTTCCTGCAGAATTCTCCAGTTCGTTGCGACATGAATGACCATTTTGTTAAACTAAAACTACTTCTATAAATAGATTTTCGGACTTTCACAATGTTCAGGTCATCATTCTATTTATAGGTAAAGCAATAGTTAACACACATAATAACCCACTGTGTACTACAAAATGATTAATAAAAATACCGAAGAGCACGATAAATTGACGGATAAGATAATTTCATTTGAATATGTTTACATTGTGAAATTATCCAGTTCGCTATTCATTTTACATATCGCGACATTTTATTGTTGATAGTCAAACACTCATACCAATCGGAATGTTCGGCTATTATAGTCGTCAAAAGGCTCAAGAAGTTGCAATTGCCCTTTCACAAAATCTGATTTCGTTCCATAAGGGCGTCGCGTTTCGGCGCGGACACCAAAAACTAGAAGTAAGGACATCTTCTTTGCAAAAGAAATTAAATTCAAATCTATTCTGGTTGCTTTACATGACTCGTTTTTGTTCAAAATACCGGTTGAAAAAGTGTTCCCTGTATCAGAATTTTGAGGATGCACGCGCATGGTATGACCCCCTTCAGGCCTTGATAAAGAGGGCCGATAACCACCTTAAAGTCCGTCCATCTAAGTTATAGCAATAACCACAAGATCTCTAAATAAATAATTGAAGGAATGTGTTTTGAATTAAATTTTTATATAGATGGTATTAAACTTAGTTTATCAAAACCTTTACCACAGTACCAAAGTTGTCAACTATTATTAAAACAGATTCAAATGGTAATGCGACTAATTCGGATGGAGCAATGTTAATGTTAATAGAAGAAGGAAGGTATAGAAATATCAATATGAATTTACGTATATGCACTAAATGCAGTATGAATCAAATAGCAAATGAATATCATTTCTAATTAGTCTTTGTCCATTCTATAGTGAATTTAGAGGTCAATGTTTCCTCGGAATTATTGTGCTTGGCCATCCATCAATAAATTCATATCAATGATGCAATCCTCGCAAAAGAAAAGGATTGTAAATTTAGCTAAGTTTATTTATTGTGGTATGTATAAGAGAAGCTTAAAACAGTTAATTTCATAAATGTAGGTATTTGTTTCTATATAATTATATTCTGTATTTACTTCTCTGACTCATATTGACATTTTGATTTTTTGTAGTAGATTTGTTAACTATATATCATACTTTTCTTAAGTAATGTCAATATATTATATTGCCATGTAACTTGGCGATGAACATGTAATTTGTTTTTGACAATAAAATATTTGACTTGACTTTACTTGATTTATATCTTATAAGGATCTTACACCGGCTGTCAATTCAGACCGGAATATCTAGCTCGAGGGTAACTGTTTAAGGTGGTAATGAGGCTGATTTTCAGTTCTTAAAGATCCTGTAGGTTATGATCAAAGTGGTAGACCATACTAAATGAAATTATATATATGTACATAATCATGCAAATAAATAAATTTTCAAACATCGAATAATATGTAAAATATGTACTGCAAATATTTGTGCATATTATAATTATGTAATCATTCAAATACAGTCGAAACTGTGCTAACGGTCACCTCCTTTTGGCGGTCACATGGCCTGAACGGTCATTTTATGACGCCCCCGACGAAAATCACTCTATTTTATACATCTGTTCAGCGGTCACCTGCTGTCCGCGGTCAACGGTCGTCTAAATTGCTTCCCGAATGGTAATTTCAGCCGTGATAAGCGGTCAGTGGTCAGTAAGGTGATACGGCCAGACTACCTGCTGCCAATTTTCATGACATGCGTTAAAAGATAAACAAATGCTAAATGTCACGCGCCACAGACCCCAAAGAGTTTGAAGAAATTTGCATAATCGCACATAATTATTATGGATCATTCTGATTGGATAGTCTGCACGCACTTGCAATATGTGGGCGGGATTATTCAAACTTCTTGAGGAACTTGTTAATTTGTGTTGTTACATTTCAATTGTTCAAATGTGAAACTTAAAGTACAATTAAACGGAAATTTTCGAAATGTTTTTCGCGGTTGGCATCGGGAAGACTTTGATGCTTGCACGTGTGTCTGCTAATTGACAATTAAAAACATTTGAACAGAAAAGATGCGTTCGCACCTTAGCTCCCTAATTATCGCCTATTATTACGAATATAACAGGGCCTTTTCTTAATTTTTTTTACCATTAATCATTCTTTCAAAGTTTATGCTTCTACCTGTACACGTTTTCATATCCTAAATAAAATTAAAGTTCTGTGAAAATCATACCTGGAATTATGTCTGGGACTAAGCGCAAGTGTTTGACATTAGAGGAGAGAGTTAAGTGTGTGAAATTACTTGAAAGTGGTAAAAGTTCCAGAGTTGTGGCAATGGAATTAGGTGTGGGACGCACACAAGTTCAGAATGTTCTCAAACGAAAACGTGAAATCTTGGATGAATATGAATCTAATGGTAATCGTGACTGTAAACTGTTCCTGGACAATGCTCCAGTCCACCCTGACATAACATTGAAGGTAAAACCATTATGAATTGTAAATTTTATTAAAGAGGGATGGGGGCGTGGCTGAATGGTTAGTGAGTCTTCATCAACAACAAGAATAGATAGACAGTTTCAAGCTCAAATTACATTTCACTTTATAACAACGGACATCTGGAGGAAAAAATAAACTAGATTTGAAACTTCTGCACTATTTATTGTTTAAAATCTACATTAATCAAAACATTGTCTCTGTGATGAAGGTGATAAAGTCACACTCTGACTACTAAAAACATTAAGCATTCATCATTCGAGGGTTTAAGTCTGTTATCAAAATTTAAGTAGCATTGAAATAGGCAATATGACCAAAAAAAAAAAAAGAAACAACAAACAATATTTTATGTTTTTTTTATTTTTTCAGAATGTAAAATTGCAGTTTTTCCCTGCAAACACCACCTCTATCCTCCAGCCGATGGATGCCGGCATAATTCAGACAACAAAGCTGAAGTACAGGAAGCGCCAGCTACAACATGTGCTCGTCACTATGGAAAAGAACTCCACTAAGCTTGGACCAGAGATCTTGAGAGAAATTACAATTCTACAGGCCATTTACTGGATTTCTGCCGCATGGAAGGAAGTGGACTCTGATACAATTGTGAAATGTTTCGCAAAGTGTGGGTTTACCCCAGAATGTGTTAGTGTTTCTGAGGATGATGAGGACAGTGACATCGAGGATGACACACCCATTGCCGTGTTGCATCTGGCCCTGGATTTATTTGATTGTAACTTTAGGGAGCTTGTGGCCATAGATCGTGAGTTTGCCACTTGTGACAATAACATGATGCAGTGGGATCAAAGTGCTGTGGACATTATTAAGGAAATCACAACTGAAAAGGAAAATGCCAGTGAGAGTGAGGATGACATTGAGGAACCTAATCCTAGTGTTGTAACAGTAAATGAAGTGTCTGAGTGTTTAAGTAAATTAAGACAGTTTGCCCTCATGAAAAATCAGTCTCCTATGTTAGACATGGTTATGAACTTTGAAGATAGGTTTGTGAAAATGCGTGTGGAGGCAACTGAGGTCCAGAGCAAAATAAGTGACTTCTTCAGAGTGAAATAAAAGAGTGACTTTATATTGTGCCAAGTCTGTAAATGACTGAGACATTAAGTTGTGACCATAGGCGGCAACACTGAAAAATGAACTTGTATTATATTATAGATATGTTATTTATCACACAATAGATAAAGTTTAAATAAATATGAATAAAAAATAATACAGTTGTTTTAAAGAAATCTTGTTCTGTTCTGTTTTGTTCTGTTCATGAAAAGCTTCAAACAAGTGATTGAAAAATGATGATGATTAAAAATGATGATGATGATGATTAAAAGATGATGTGTTATGTATTCATAATAAAAATGCATTTGATAAACACACAAACACATAACTAGATGATAGTATAGCTTAATATTTATAAAGAAATAAAGATAATACATTTTGTATTTTGAAAAATTACTGACCCTCCATTCAGCAGCCACCTGTCTTAAGCAGCCAAAATGACTGCATCCCTTGGCTGGCTGCTTAAGACAGTTTCGACTGTATATGCATTCATTTCTTATTATAAAATTTGACTTAAACTTTATAGAAAATAGATGTTTTATTACCTCCTTTATTTACATGAAATGTTAAATTCGGTAATATCTTTATAAATAATGCTTTTCGGAACCTACAATATTGATAAATCTTAATTTGAGCATCTTATGTATGATTTAAAACCATGAAAAATTGTGTTACAGGATCTTTAACAGTACTTAACCCGAATGCTAGATATTCCGCTCTGTGACAACAGTCAGTGTTTTATTCTTTTTCTTCTATATTAAATATATCAATAATATTTCGGAAAGAAATTTTATATTTGAACTATAACCGGCTTTTTTGTAACAGTGAACTATATAGGATATTCACGCCTACTAAACAGTGGGTTTTTCATGTTTTGGTGATCAATGTAAATGAGAGCCATCGACACTGCCGTTATAGAGTCATCGACCAAAACTAGGCAGAACAAGAGCAATGTTAACATGGTCATCCCCACCCGAATGTGTTTGCTCATTGGAAGAATGTATATGTAGTAGAGCAGAACCCGAATATTTCAATTTTAAGAGGTCTTTTGGTAATGAAAACTGATGGCTGAAGTGATTGTGGCGCCGTTATATGTAGCAACACCGCTAAATGTCGCACTTACCGCTAAATGTCGCATTATTGCCGCTAAATGTCGCACCCGCTGCTATATGTCCCAAAGTCGTTTGCCGTTAAATGTCGCAATGGTAACGTTAAATGTCGCACGATTTACACTTCCCGTTAAATGTCGCAACGCTACCGTTAAATGTCGCAAGATGTAAATTCATGTTATACTAGTAGCTTAAATGGTGTTGCATTTAATTTGTCGTTATGTTAGTTATCTGTTACTTATCATTAGTAAAGCAATAATGAATTAGTTCATATTTAAACAAGAAACATGGCAATGCCATGAAACCAGGTTTTCAATTATCACCATTGTAGATAAATATGTTGTATTTGAAATACAAATACAAGCAACAAACAATGTAACTATGTGCAATGTAAAACATGAATAATGTAGGAGGAATTGCCACTGAGTAGTGTTCACTATATATTCTGTATAAGGAAAAAAAACAAAGGGCCATAATTAGGTCAAAAATTATCCAATCACAAAACCCCGACAATATGTGCCAGGGCACTTGATGACAAAGCTTCTGTGAAAGTTTGAACAAAATCCGTTGAGAAATGTAGGACGAGTTCAGCACAGAAGAATTTGTTCACTATATATTGATAATTCTGTATAAGGAAAAAAAACAAAGGGCCATAATAAGGTCAAATATTATCCAATCACAAAACCCCGACAATATGCGCCAGGGCACTTGATAACAAAGCTTCTGTGAAAGTTTGGTCAAAATCCGTTGAGAAATGTAGGAGAAGTTGCACACGATAGAAATTGTTCACTATATATTCTGTATAAGGAAAAATAACAAAGGGCCATAATTAGGTCAAATATTATCCAATCACAAAACCCTGACAATATGCGCCACGGCACTTGATGACAAAGCTTCTGTGAAAGTTTGAACAAAATCCGTCCGTTGAGAATTGTAGAGGGAGTTCAGCACAGAAGAAACTGTTCACTATATATTCTATATAAGGAAAAAAAACAAAGGGCAATAATTAGGTCAAATATTATCCAATCGCAAAACCCCGACAATATGCCCCAGGGCACTTGGTGACAAAGGTTCTGTGAAAGTTTGGTCAAAATCCGTGGAGAAATGTAGGAGGAGTTGCGCACAGAAGAAATTGTTCACTATATATTCTTTATAAGGAAAAAAAACAAAGGGCCATAATTAGGTCAAATATTATCCAATCGCAAAACCCCGACAATATGCCCCAGGGCACTTGATGACAAAGCTTCTGTGAAAGTTTGGTCAAAATCCGTTGAGAAATGTAGGAGGAGTTGTGCACAGAAGAAATTGTTCACTATATATTCTATATAAGGAAAAAAAACAAAGGGCCATAATTAGGTCAAATATTATCCAATCGCAAAACCCCGACAATATGCGCCAGGGCACTTGATGACAAAGCTTCTGTGAAAGTTTGGTCAAAATCCGTTGAGAAATGTAGAAGGAGTTGCGCACAGAAGAAATTGTTTACGCCCGCCCGCCCGTCCGCCCGCCGACATACCTCAATCTAATAACCAGTTTTTTCCTTCGGAAAACCTGGTTAAAAAGGGGAGGGGTTCCAAATATCTGCTAGGACAGGCTTGGTTGTGATTTCAAAAATGATTGGTTGAAATAGGAGTTTTCTTATTCGGTTTTAAAATCTATAACCATTATTTATGCCTCCTTGGTATTGAATACATACCGACTGCCGAGGTTTTTAGCTATGGTAGAACCTGGAGATACATATAAAATACTAGGAAGCATATTCTAGAAAGATTGGATTGAAACTTCATATTCCCTAAATCTTCTCCTTTAAAGGTTTTATGATATTTTCCCTTTCAAATTACGAATTACGGTCTTTAGAATTTTATTGATGCAAATACCTGTTTATTTTTTTCTTTCTTTTTTTTCTTTTATTACAATTTAAAGCAGTGATTCAGTCATACACGTATGGTATGTAATAGATATTTAAAAATGAATATGAAAGTGTGCGGAGTCAAAATTCATATTTATATTTAGTGACTACTTTCAGATGTTTTTTCTATGACAGTCAATAGCTTCAGGTATTCATTTCATAAGAAATTGAAATAATAATTTTGTTATGTTTTTTGTCATCACAGTTACGATGGTTACGATGTCGTATGAGATTTGCAAGTACCATGAGACATACATCTTCCGTTTTCGGTAGCGAATTACTTACCGATTTCATGTTGGGGTTCATAAGACTCGAAGGTTATGAGAACTGCAAGTTCGTTGTTAATGATTAAATTGAATCTCACTGGTGAGTAATCAAAATATTTTTGCATACAATTAAAATCTAATGAGAGTTTTTGTTTTTACTCGATGGTTTCGGTTTCGTAAAAATGTATGGAATCTTATCATATTTCGTAAAAATATTTTCCATATTACACTCAAACGAATAAAATATCCTCTTAATAGTATTTGCCAACAAGGGCATATTTATGTCAGTAGCATTGACGCGTATGAGATTATTCAATTTTAAATGTATGATTCTTAGCAACATTTTTTGGTCGTTTAAAATACTTTGTAGCATTCCTCAATTGATTATATTAGGAAATTATGTAATATACACTATACTACAGCTTACGTTTTATACATTAATGCATGTATATGTTTTGCCAAAAAAAATATTTGACTGGACTATATTCATTTGTAAAGTTTTATATTTTTAATGGTCAATCAATTAATTATTTCATTTACTAGGAGCTTGATAATATTATATAATAATAATTGAATTGTTTTTTTAAATACACGCAGACTTGTGTTGAAAGGAATCTTTTGATTATACATATAACATATTTCTGATTTATTATCTTTAATTAACAGAAAACATTGGAAACTTTATATAAGAAACTTGAAAAGAATATTATGATATTAATCATTGACATATCAGAAGATATAATTGAATCAGTATCTACTGGTACCGAATTGTCCTACAAGAGACCTAGGCTTCCACCACTTAGTGTAACTGTAATAAGTTGAGAAGTTGTGACGCTCAGGGCATCCTCCCCTGGCATCACCCATAACGCATTTTTATGGAAAGACCGCTATTAGGACCCAAACACGTTCCTCTTTGACATATTAATATTAAGGCCTGATTTTAATACAACATGATACTTTAGTGTAAATCATTATACTTTGTGAATGTTTTTTCATTGTTTACTAAATTTGTTTACTAGTACAATCAAAGCACGCACTTAAGGTATTTGCAACCAGCGAAGTGTTATGAACACGTTCAGTGTAAATAAGCTGGTCATTCACTACAGAAGAGTAAGACGCAAATTTTTGTTTCGGAGATTTTAGCAAGTATAGATTATGATAGCTGTTAAATGAAACAGAAACATGTTTAAAAGGTTCTTAAGTTGACCGTGTTTCTATGGTTGCTTTAATCATTATACTTCAAAGCATTCATACTATTTTTTGTTGCTACACATGTCACTCTTATTAGTAATACTAGTATACATTTAATAAACTGAATGTATTGTTAATTTCTAATAATGTCAATATACACGCCGTTGTGATATTTATAAAACTGCCTGAAATTTCAACCGGTCTAAAATGCAATCACTGCATGATAATGGCTTTTAACACGTATAATCCCTCATTGATTCCAGCACTTTCAAGTGTTGAATATTGAGTACCTCTCATCGAAGCTAGGGGTGTGAGGGATGTTGCATCTTTTCATTATTCCTCATGTACAGCCTCAATCAAACCGATCTTCAATTTTCATGTAATTTTGCTGTGATTATAGCTTCCTAGGGACACCCCTATGGACTACTTTTCTGTTGATTGTGCATTAATTAAACGACACCAAACTATCAGAAACATAATACAGGATTGCCTTTTTCTTTCCAAAAGTACTACCGGTATGTGACTTGTTAATTTACAAATACGATTGGGTCTATTATTATGAATTAATATGTCTGTGACGAGTTCACTCATGAGCAAACGTAGAGTGGTCATACTCATTTTGCCACGACAGTTTCTCATATATTTTGAGTAAAGCAAATGCTTAAAGTTATTACATGTAAAATAAATTCAATCACATATCTCCTCCCCATC